GAGAGAGAGAATGAGAGAGAATGAGAGAGAGAGAGAGAGAGAGAGAGAATAAGAGAGAATGAGAGAGAAGAGATGTAGAGACATGTAAGATATAAGAAAAATTATTTATTTTATACATTTTTTTTTTTTATTCAGTCCGTAATTCTACTCATTATATTTTTTATATTGAAAATGCATAGGATTATGGAAAATATAGATTTACAATGCAGATGATTTACAGAAATTAACGGGACTGTAGCATGTGATATATTAATAATTTCATGTTTATTACTGCTAGTATTCGCAATAATGCAAAGTGGTTATTTGCATGTATGTAGTTATAAATATTTTTATTTTGATTGAAAAGTTTACAAAGACAAAAAATATATTAATATCTCGAAATATATTTATTCTCTTATTATTTTATATCAATATCTAGGTACAATAAAGTCAGTACACTACATAAAGCACATTTTTACATATTATAATAATGCGAACTACACACAAAAAATGCTGTATATGATATATATAATCTAAATATCTATATATACTTAATACTATTATTTAGAAATTTTACTCATTATTGTAGACATGTAGACATATTCACTTTTGTAGCCATTTTGATTGTTTACATGACAACTTGATATATTTTCCTTTGAACACAGGATAATTTATTTTTCTCATTTCTTTCGAGCTAATCGATATAATTTCGCTTCTCTCATGCTATATTATGCCAGGTCTATCGATTAAGATCGGTTGGGCATATGTATACAGCATAGGAAAGAGCAAGCGCAAAATATAATATTCGCAGATGAATATTTCAGACACATACTTTCGATCTAGAAAATGTTTTGTTTTCCTATTGTATCATCCACTTTATGGATCATATAACGCACAAAACAATGTGCGATAGAAAGAAGAAAATCTCAGATGTCCAAATAAAGACGACACGCACGACGGCTGTCTTACGCTCGATGTGTGAAGAATTTAACTTTGAATGTGCCTTGTGCTGTTTGTTGTAGCCACGCAAGAAAATCGTCAAGCAGATTACACCTGCCGAACAGAGAATAACTTGCCGGGCAATCAGCAGGGTGTATTTCTTCCTCTTCAACCTATTCCTTTCTGGTATCCCGAGGGTTGGTGGGGTTATTATCCCGTGCAGTATAATGCTGTATCCAATAAGATCGCGAATGAAACGGACAGACATTCTTTTCCTTTTTACGCATATCCGAATGGAAGAACGTACGTTGGATCCTTTTATCCGGTTTATAATGAAAACTTTGCGGACGCGATGACACAAATGAGAGTTATGGGCCGAGAAAATTCTTCAGGCCAATACGCTGGTTACACGGCCGTAATTTATCCTCAAGCAGGCTACAACGATATTCAATCTGCATCGCACGTTGATGAAAACAAATGCAATTATATCGACGATCGTTTTACCACTGCCGATTCATTTTTCGCTCAAAACAATAGACTAGATTTTATGCCAAACAGCACGGTTAATGAATCAAAAAACACTGTTTTGCCCAAGATTAATCACAAGATTAACCATTTGGATGCACAGTCGAATGACACGTATAATCCCAAGAGTGTCAGCGAAAACTCCAATACTAATAGAGAAAAAAATTGCATAACCACGGCGATGAATATAATCGAGGAGGATAGCATATCGACGGATAATTCCAACAACATTGCAGTTACTAATAATATCGAAATGCCGGGAAAAAAAACATTTGGTCCTTATATCAACGTGCCAAATTACACCTATATAGATACTAGCGATTCTGGTGCTTCTAGCGATTCTAACGATTCCAGTGACTCTAATGATTCTACCTCGGACAACGAACAACTTTCGCATTCTTGTCAGAAGAATCATAGCCTTAGCAACGATACTACTTTCAATAATACGTCATCCGATAGTGATTCGGATTCGTATATAGCTTATTCCACAAGCATGAACCCTTACGGGAAATTGGAGAAAGATCCGTGCGATTTCTCTTTGAACGAGGATCGCACCGACATCACAGCTGCATGTTCGACATATCCTAGCGCTAATAATCTACATGGATGCTCGCGAGATTTTTCCGAAAATCGTAATCACACCGAGGAGATACGTTTCAATAAGGAGCATATCAATTACTCGAACGATCGTGTAAACTCTCGTGCAACATCGTGTCAGCAAGATATTGCATACATTGCGAGCGAGATATGTAACGATGAGAATTCAACCATTGATCGAAACGATCTTGACTCTTATTCCAGTAAGAGCACCGGCGAACATCACTCGGAGCAACACGATCAGCGACCGGATCTGGCGACCAACAGCACCGTTTTCCATGTTCAGTTGAACGATGATCGTGAAAACGTGGAACAACCGGACTCCGAGACTCCTTGTTACAAGAGTAAGGAGAGAATCGAAGCTTTCTTTGAAGCGACCGACGATCCTCCCGACACCGATGTCGAGAGCACGATGGTCAGCGTGAGCTTGCCCCTGAGATTCAAGTTTTTTGTATCGGAAGACAACGAAGACATCACCACTGTGATTGTCGGCGATAGCGAGATAAAGGCGGAAAAATCCTGCAACGAGTATTTCTCGATGAAGGATGATGTTTGCGTTGACTTTCATGTCGGCAACGATACTAACGTAAATTTTACGGTAAAGACACACCTTTCAGACGCACGGAACGAGGCACGGAGCATCGAGAGCGCGATACCGCATGTAGATTTCACATTAAGAAAAGATCCAACGGGAGTCAGCGGAGTTAATTGCGGAGAACAGAATGTAGAGACAGAAGTCACAATTGCGAAAATGGGACACGGCTGCGGGATAAACTCCGCAAAACCAGTATCGAGAGACACCGATGACGATGATGCTATTTCCGAATCGATAGTGGCTACGCGAGATACCTTATTGAATCGTGATGAAAATCGCGATTACACCCAAGCAGATTTCACTTGTAATAATAATGTTGAAAGTATCGCTTTTGGCAGAATGATCGCTGGACCGAAACTCGCCATATTCGAATGCTCCATGCGAGACAATTTCCAAATTCCAGATTTTCAGATTGTCGGTACGCATGAAACGGATCGGGAAAACTGTGCGATAACAGCAGATGACAAACATGGTCGAGACATCGATCAGGATCTCTGTCGGATGCAAAACATAAAGCGTTTGCCGAATGTCCAAGATCCTCGCGAAGACACCGACGACGAGGATAGCGGAGTCACCTCCGATGTAAGTCGCATGATATCCGAGGTTGACACGGACTCGGAGTGTACTTGTCTGAAGAATGTGAAAAAGTATCAACGAACGCAGACGCATTCGCGACTCTTTCGGCTTTTGAACAATGACTCTATTCTATCTCTATCCGGTTATTCCAAGACAGATAACTGCGGAAAGGAATCGTTTCTCAGCTTGCCACTCAAGACGAACGCTTTTAACTACGATGACAATCACTGTTCCAATTATTCCAGTGGCTTTACCTCTCCCGAATATTCGCCCATTCACGAGCAGTCTTGGCAAAGATTTCACGAAGACGCGACGACGAACGCAAGTAGTTCAGCGAACTTGGCAAATGTTGAAACCGATCATCTTGCGAGTCAGCGAGAACAGAACGTCTCTTCGAAGGATGACTCTTATTTCCGAGTTTGGAAGAGTCCGAAATTACCTAGTTTACGCGAGCAGGATGTTGTACCTTCTCTAGCTTTCAAGACAATCGATAGCAAGATACCCTCTTGGGCATACAAAGTGAATGTACTGTGCCCGAGAGTCAAGAGTACGAAGAGCGTGCCGCAAACTCTAGCACGGCACAGCGACAAAACTAACGATTCTTCGCGGATGGTTCCTTCTATTCCAACATCCTGTACAAACTCTAAAACCAGTTATTGCTGACGGTCCAGGGTGGAATGAGGCCATATGTTTGCTCGCCGCCGCGAGCAACTGCTCTCCACGATCCACGGACATACTTTTCTCTCAATTTTCTTCGCAAGACAGGGTTGGGTATGCCCGAGATGTTCTACGGGCTACGTGATTTTTTTTTCTATCGGTACATATCGTTTCCATATATTCGTCTATCATTCTTGATTTCTTCTCCATGTTTCCCCTCTTTCCTCTTCTCTCTTCATTTTTATCTCATCTCTATTTCTTTTCTCTTCTTTCATTCTTTCCTCTCTACCATATGCAATTAATTCTATTATAACCTTTTTCGTTTTTTTCATTTATCTCTCTTTTTCCGTCTCTTTTTCTCTTTGTGTCTTTAATGTCTTTTTTCTTCTTTCTTGTCTTCTTTTCTTGCAATTGTGCGAAAAAAGGGGTTGTTAAATATGCTTGCGGTTGTGCTTGGTTGCTTTATGCATGTTGTGACTAATATTGGTTAAAAAACAGAAATGAATTTATTAACGTGTTTGATATACCTATATTCGAGATATTCGAGCAAACGGCGTGAGGAAAGAAATTATTTAATAAGACTCATCATATATAAGAATTTTTGTTGTTATTTAGTATTAAATCTTGTATAAATATATGTATATGAATGACGAAATTATATCAGAGAGAGAGTGACTGAGTGACTGAGTGAGTGAGTGAGTGAGTGAGTGAGTGACTGAGTGAGTGAGTGAGTGTGTGTGTGTGTGTGTGTGTGTGTGTATGTGTGTGTGTGTGTGAGAGAGAGAGAGTGTGTGTAGCAACAAAGATTGATAGGTATTACATATAATCAAAACATTGTATGTATATGTATATAGATAAAATGATATATTTGCGCTTTCAACATACATTCATCTCATATAGTATAATGCGTGCATATTCTAAAATTTCAGTATATATGTATGTCTTTTTTCTTTTTTTTTAATTTTGTCTTTACATATTTGCCATATATGCAAAAATTGCTTTTATAAAATCGAACTTTTCATGTTTTAGGTCCCGATGCAACTGATTACTGATTGTGAGAGAGGACGAGTGAAATCCTCCTTAGGCAAGGCCGAATTGTTAGTGTGCTTTTTTCTATTTTGTTTACAAAATAATCCTTATAATGCTTGTTTACGTCGCATTTGCCGATTCTTCAGCAAAAAATTAACCAAAGATTTTCTTTAAAGAGAATTGCAGAGATACATTATTTAAAATTATATCAGTTGAAAGATTTCTCAAGATACACTGCCGTGAGATAAACAATTTTTCAACTTGTTCAAACTTTGGATTTTGGTATCAGAAATCTGTGTGAATGAGATTCTATCTCATAGATTTTTTGATGTGTAAAGATAAGTTGATAATTTCGTTTTAAATCGTCATTAGAAATGATCAATATTCACGTACAATCGTGTGATCAACTTACTTTTGAAATTTTAGTCAATTATAAAAGAGAAACTCTATAACTTTTTAAGATTTTTTTATTTCCAAAGAAGAAACTTAAATAACTATATTAGGAGGTTGTCTGTCTTGATATGCCGCACCGCAACGTAGATATAATACAATACTACGTGAGCACATGCACGTGGTTTATTTATTTAAGACAAATGTGAGATTGTTATATGGAAATTATGTAATAACACTCTTTTTAAGAATATTAATCATTATTTGAAAATATATGTGTAAGTACATATACATGTTGTTAATTCTGTTTTCTGAATTTGTCACTGTGTACTATTTATCTAAATAGTAAAATAAATTATTTCTAAAGTTGACGGTGCTAATAGAAGTTTTATCATCTAATTATCTATTGTCAGAAATGTATAACATACGTGATCATTCCTATATTATCTATATTATTTGCGGATTGCAAAATTACGAAAAAATGTAGTGCAATAGTATCATATTGCTTATATAAATAGATAAAATTTGTAAAAACTCAAAGTGTGATGTAAATTCGTTTACGATGCAGAACATATGCTATAACCGTCCAGAGGGTTACAACCCAAATTGATTCAATTAAACACAAAGTACGACTGTCCATTGCGCCAATCTTCCAATGGAATGGAAAGATTTGGTAACACATATTATGACCCACATATAATACCAGTGCATTCATTCCTGTAAATTCATATTTGCGTAATGTTAAAATAAATTAGTGTATAGCAGTGCGTTTTAATATATTTTACATTAATACGAGTATATCTTCTATATAGCTAGTATAGCGCAATGTGCTTTAAACACATATGTATATACACATACTGCTATAAAAAAAACTGCGTTCTTCTGAGAATCTATTTTCTAGTTTACTCTATATATGTATGTATATTTTAAAAAGCGTACACATTTTCATATTTACACTTACCGGGTATTCTGAAAGGGCCACCTCGCCAAATTCTGGCAACATCAATCAGCAAATAACATCCGGAAAGAAAAGCCAGGGCAAAACAAGTTGAAACAAGTACGAATGATAAAGACCTGCATAATTATATAGCAACTTGCAACTACAGATAACAAATTACTATAAACGATTAATTTTATAAAATTCGTGCAAAAAATAAAATTGCGCAAATCAAAATATTTAAATAAGTAACTAAAAATAATCTTTGTCGATATCTTACCACAAATTTTTGTTAATGGGTATAAGATTAGTGAAATGGAAGACGCAACCCAAACAACCATAAAACATTGCCCACGAAAGCCATCGGATAACACGTTCCTTCCAATCTTTATACATCATTAGAATTATACCAGTGTGTACACCTAGAAATACTTGAAATATCGACGTGAGGCATCCTAAAAAAACACATAATGCTTATTAGACGCTAATCTAGAAATAGCATGTTTTTTTCAAAGAATTGGCTCTACATTTTAATACGGGTTTTGCGCCATTTGCACATAAAACTAAGAACTCGCATCTCAAATTGTAGAGCATCGATAAAAGATTAAAAGTTTTATAGACACAGTGGCAAAAAACTCGCCCCGTATTTGATTTAAGAAATTTATATCATAATATGTTGATTTGGGAGACGTACTGCTTTCGCTATTTAATGTAAAACGTCTCTAATTATTAAATTTACTTTTTTTTTGTAACTGGAAATTACAAAACTTCTCAAAAACCCGTTCGCAATTTTTCAGGTCCTTCGAAAAAAAGTTGTAAATAAATCAGGTTTGAGAATTTATTGATATCGCGATTGTAATATCGTATATAGGGAAAAATAGGGTAAAACCGGGTAGGCGGATCAAACCGGGTACCTCTGTTTTTTCGTGATAAGTGCTACTATCTTTGGCCAATTCGTATTATTAGTTGTAGATTGACGCCATCATTATTTTGAGATGAACCGTGCCCATGTGCACACGATATTTCTTTTTTCAGAGAAGTCAAAAATTTTCGGGCCAAAAAAGATCGATATGGGGGCAATAATCAAGTCGTCGTGGACTTTTACATATTAGAGAGTATATCTACATTAGTAGATTTGTGCAGTTTTGATCATCACTTTGTACGCCGGAATGTACAGCCACCGTGTTTATTTTTCTCGTGTTGGGACAAAACCGGATACCTACACGCCTCATATAATGAAAAGAGGAAAAACTGCCATTCTGACTTTGTCTCCCTACAAAAAACAGTTGGAAATGAAGACTGCCACTCAGAAAAGAAACCATTAAAAAAAAGCTTTTTAAGCTGTTGAGATCTCTAAAATTAAAAAATTAAATAAGAAAGTCCTGCAACAATGTAGAGCAAAAGGATATCTTTGTTTGTGATCTTTGTTTATAAAATACATTTTTTTTGTATTGTATTTTGATTAAAATAAATCAAGATTCGTAATTGCACGATGTTTTACATGCTTTCAAATGGGTACTTGATTTTACTTTACCGGTGGGACAAAACCGGGTATTTTGACTTCTTCAAAAAATTTTGTTTTCCTTGGTAACTAAATTTTTTTTTTTAAGCAACTAGCCTTATTTTCTCATAGTTCAAAGTCTATTAACGGCTATTAACGGCCAATAGAATTTGTTTTGCCCTCTGATTTTTTGTAGAAAGACAAATCCAAAAAAGTATCCAGTTTTTTCCGCTACTCGAAAATATGTATTATGGATATTTTATTTTCTTTTATGTGACCAATTCGAATATGTTGATACAATATGATACATTACATTGTAGAGAAACATAACGTGGTGAAAAGGTAAATTTAATTGCAAAAGATGAAAAGTTTAATATCTCCGCAACTATACATATATAGTACATGTATATCTATAACGATACACGCAAATAAACACAAGATTTACCTAAAATCCCTTCAGGATCGAAAGGGCCGGATCCATAAACGGGATCAATAGTTGGTTTTTGATCAATATGACTTAAAGTCAATAAAATTTTATCGATATATCCAGCCGCACCCCCGGTACAATTAAAATATTTACCGTCTTCGTGTCTTCCGCCTGGTCCAAGGTATCCCCTGTATAGTAAACTTACCGTTTCATTTATCGATGACAATAGATGATGGATCAAAGCACGAAATTAAACAAGACAGTTGGAAGTCAAAGTTAATGTACGTACGTAGGGCATCCGGGAATTGGTAGACCAAACGTTAAAACGCAATGCACCATTACTAAAGTCAGCATTACGTACCAATATGGCAAAAAGCTTAATACGTCCTGCATCTTTTGCATTATCCAAGTTTGTGATAATTTCTACAAGTTGCAATAAGTTTACGTTACCAAGGCGTAATCCATATTATCGAAATGCAATAATTATATATTTATCAAAAGTTATATGTAATAATTTTTTTTTTTATGTACGCGGGTTCTTCTACGAGATATGGTGTTAGACTTTAGAAATGTATTACCTTTTCAAGCAAAAAGAGAGATTGTGTATGTTGTGTAAAGTAAGTCTTATTAACATAAATTTAATTAAATTTAATGTGTACTAAGGACAGAGTTCATGCACATACGTATAATAAATACAATGTTTAATTACAATCACACCGGATATCTCGCGCGCGTCTATATTATTGTATATAAGATTTATATAAGAATACTCTTAATATTTCTTTCTCCATACCTGAGCAGCTTTTGACTGTTGGGATATAAAGCAAAGATAGAGTAAACCCACAATTAAATAAGAAATTCCGAATCGTTGAAGAACTCCGAATACACGTACGTTTTCTAATTGCGCATTTGTTCCTAATGTGTTTAATGCAACGCCTATCAGAAATAGAAGAAAACTTCTCTGCGAAAAAGTATTAGATAAGCTTAGGCACATAATACATCAATATTAATCGATATCACACACACACACACACACACACACACACACACACACGCGCGCGCGCGCGCGCGCGCGCACACACACACACACACATGCGCACGCTGACAATTATATCTTTTTTTTGCGACAATTACCTTCAAGATGGAATAGCTGATTTGAAGCTTTGAAAGTCCATGCTTTAACTGCGCCGACAAAGCTATAGGCATGCAAACTCCCATAATCCATATAAAACAGGGAAATACTAAATCTCCTGGTAATATGCCATTCCAAGTTGCATGCCCCAATATGGTATAACTACCGGAGCCATCATTAACAAAAATCATAAAAAGCGTGCTGGCCCTGCAAATCATTATACAAACGATTATGCGAACATTTTAAGAGAATTTGTATAACAAAACCTAATCATGTACTCTAAATACGAGTATATTCCTTTCTTATGTTTATGCGCGCAATTACTTTGTAAAATATTTATACCCCCTGAATGTATCGATAGCTTTTATGCGACGACGTTTTGTTGCTTCTTTGTTGCTAGTTGAAGTTTTTCCCTCCTCCGCTTTCATTATACATTGTGTTTTAAATTTGTACCATAAGGACCTTCCAGCAGATATGGCAAGTAAGATAAATATAATTAACCCCAAAATAATAAACAGTTCTGTAAATAAGAAAAGAAACAGAAAAAAGAACAATACGCTTTGATACGCTTCGCGAATAATCTATATGCCTCGCTGTTGCTACGCGCGATCTTTGCTTCGCGTGACTCTTGATGAGACCTGTGTATATACACGGATCTTCTATATATTAAAAAATTACATCTTCTCTTCTATTTATTGTCACAACCTAGTCGGCATCAAATAAGAAAAATGTTTAAACTAACTTTGGCGATTATTTTATCGTTCTTCTGTTTTGTTAGAGAAAACAAATGGAAAAAATAAATTGTCTGTAAACAAAAGTCATAATCTTTAGGATTAGGAAATAACGCGTTACTTATAACAAGAGTTGCTAACGTTACAATTATTTTTTTTTTGATAATGAATTGATAATGTTGTTTATTTTTATCATTATTTTACTATTGTCCTAATTTCCGTGTGTTTTCTTTGATGGACAGTGAGCGTTAAATTTTTTCAGGATTACAGAATATATAAGATTTAAAAATGCGGAAAAACCATTTTGGTAGTATTTATTCATTAAAAAAAAACTTTTACTTATATTTGCAACATTTAAAGTTTCATGAAGTAAAACAGTTATTTTTTTATAATTTTGTAACATTAATAAAATTCAAGATTATTATTGCTATTATCAAAATTGCATACTTTAATTAATAGTGGTACCGTTATCAAAGTTATTATATTGTTTTGGTTAATATTTTAATAAAGAAATATTTTTAAAAAATGTAAATTTTATGCACATATGACTAAATAAAGTGATGGTAATTCGATTTACTGCTTTTTGTAATTATAAAAGCAACGGTGATACAAAGTTACTTTTATACAACGTAATTTTCTTAATCCTGATAATAATTTAATCTCATAAATGGTTTCTCTCAACTATTTTTTACGCTACAAAATTTTCCATTTGGAAAGCTAAGAATAGTATAATATGAGCATATTGTCAATTAACATACAAAAAAAGAAAATGTTTTCATGATAATCTTGGAAAATCTTAGAATCATAATATCTATAATCAATTTCTCTTAATTAATTATCACAGTCGTGTACAATAATATTATTTTGTTTATTACTGATACCATATGTCATATCAGTAGCTATCGCCAGTTATCGCGCGAGTTAAACAATAGATAAACGATAAAACTGCTAGGATAAGATACGTACTTTATCAATATTATGTATATCGTATTATATATAGTTCAATTGTATAGTTTTATCCTTTTATCAACATATATATTATTATATCACGCACACGCGCACGCACACGCACGCACACACACACGCACACACACACACACACACACATATATATACGTAATAATAGTAATAGTAAATAATGAGTTTACCTTGTATTTTTGGCAGATATATATTCATCATTGCCATTATTCTTCAACACTCTCCATTTTACTGAATCGATTGTGTTGAATTTCAAACTAGAATTTTCGTTAGTCGAGATCGGCGCTATGCGCTTATATGGACACTAATAAACAAGTATAACAGTTAGAAATGTGCTGTTCATAATGGATTCATACAGAATATATACTGATTCATGAAAGATATTCGAGACAATCTCTATATTATTTTTATGACGTATTTATTTTTCTATTTTTATCTTCCGTTTTGAAAACAAGTAACATTATATTTTCGTAATTTTATAATATATAATACCTTGTTTCAAATGTCTACGTTGTTGCTATGTTACAATGCCAAATCAGAAAAGCATGTATATTGAGATCCATTATAATAAAAGCTACACATTTTTTTTCTTTACTTTATTTTGTTATTGTTGTAAGCTACTGTTCACAATACACACACACACACACACACACACACACACACACACACATACATATATATATATATATATCATATAATCTATAATTTTCAACTTGTAGTAATAAAATTAATCTTTCTCGATTTTTTGCTTACTACTACAAGTTGAAAGTTATAGATTATACAATACAAAATGTGTTACGATTGTACTTACTGATAAACAATCTGTAGAGAGAGAATAAAGCCACATATTATAATTGTTATTATCAGATATTACATTTACGCAGGCTTCGTCAAAGTTTAAAAGCTCGTAAAAGCAACTAAATTCGTCCATTGCTTCTTGTTTAATATAACTCTATTATCTCTTACCATTTAAATTCTTTAATAAATCTAGTTGTTTTGTAGATATGAAAAATATGTAATTAATCGACGGTAGTTCAGCCTGCACGATAATAGCAGCGGTACTGGACTGAAGTGGCAAAACAAGTTTTCTTAATAGCGCAAAATATCGGAATGCGATTACATCAACCTACACTTGAACGACTCGAGAGTGAAAGTGTAAAGACCTACATTGATCATATATACTCTTGCATTTGAGTTTTTTGGCAAACGTATCAAAGACAAATCCCGGGAGAAATTATCTACATATGATCATATATAAATATATATAGAATTATATATAAAATATGTACAGGTATGTTTTCTTTTTCTTTGGTATAATCTCTGTCCTTATATGCAGGAAAAATAAGGATAATTGAAGAATAATTGAAAGAATAATTTTTACATTGTTCTTTTTCTTTTTAAGTAAAACTGGAAGAAATGAGGAGAGAAATTGTCTGAATATAATTGTATTAAAAAAATGTCCATATATACATATATAATATATTATATACAGGAAAAATTTTTTCTCATTTCTCCAAATTTTATTTTTTCTAAAAAAAATCATACAAAAATTATTCTTTTAATTATTTTTCCTGTATACATGGACAAGTGCAGTGAACAATGGGGGGGTGTTCCATTTAAGAAAATATCGATCACATTGACCTGGCCTTGAAAAGATCACTCAAGATCAAATTCATATTTTCATCGTGTGGCCCCCTTCAAACCATGCAACTTTTGTTTGAAACATTTTTCTGCATCTTCCACATTTTTCGAAATATTTGCTTGCGGCATTTAAAATAGGACACCCTGTATACACACACGCGCGCGCGCACACACACACACACACACACATACACATACACATATATGTTCCAAAGAGAAAGATCGAGGCATCAATAATTTCCGTGTTATAAACGATTAAAAAAGAAGGGCTTTTTACAAACTAAACTTTATAGAAAGTTAAAAAACTACATTTAGTTAATTTCATAGAGTTTACTTTAATGGAGAGAGAAAATTTTAAAGCTTATAGTTACAAAAATATATGATGAAAAAATTAGAAATTTGCAAAAAATGATCTTTTTCGACAATTTCGCTCAGGAAAAATCGTTCAATGATCTCAAAAATTTACTCTTAAATATTGTTACGGTCTTTACGAGACATCCTGTATATATATACAGGGTGAGTCATTTTAATCAACGCACGCAAATATCTCGTAAAGTAAACAAGATGGAAAAAAATGTTCTATACAAAAGTTGTATGGTTCAGAGGAGGACACATGATGAAAATATGGACTTGACCTTAAGTGACTTTTTCAAGGCCAAGTCAATGTGATCGATGTTTTCTTAAATGGAATCCCTCATTTTTTATTACATATTCTTGTAGCTTATCTTGAGAGCTTTTCAAAACACTATAATAAAGTATTTTTTCATTAAGTACTTTTTGAGTTATTTTATATTTTAATCTTTTTTGTATTTTTAATTTTCTAAAAAATAATTAAGTGTATTTACTTAAGTCCGACATACTGTATATATTGTGCATATGTATAAATTATTTCATATGTTTGTTTATACAGGGTGTCCCAAAGCACCCTTGACAACGCTCGTGAGCAAGTAGAGCACAGTAAACTGAACGGAAAAGTCCCGTAACATTTTTTTCTATAACGCTTAATAAAGGAGTTATTATTGAGTAAAGTCTGGCCAATCAGTGCCGATCTTTAGCCGCGCGCCTGGTAGTATGCATGAGCGCTCCGTCGCTATGGCGGCGCACATTACCAGGCGGGCGGCTCACCGATGTGCGTCCGGCTAAAAGTCGGCGCTGATTGGCCAGACTTTCTCGATAATGGTTTAGTCTACACCGATATACTTTAATACGTACTAAGTACTATATTGGCCAATCATAGTTATTCCCTTAAAGAATGGAACGGCTGTGATTGGATAGTATAGTATTTAGTACGTATTAAAATATATCGATGTAAACTAGGACAATAACTCTTTTGTATTAAGCGTTATAGAAAAAAATGGTACAGGACTTTTCTGTGCAGTTTACTGTGCTCTACCTACTCACGAGCGTTGGCACAATTTTTACCAGACACCCGTATATGTGCGGACTTTTCTTTCCCAGGAGAATCCCGATTCAAAATGAATCAAAAGATATGCTTCCTTAATTAATTCATTTATTTCGGGAATAGCTTGTACAATATATCAGATGTATTATCAAAATTTTAATATAAAAAAATTTGTGTCGAGATTGTTACTTCTCTTTCTCTCTCTGTATATATGTGTGTTTGTATGGTGTGCGCGCGTGTGCATATGCGTAGAATATAAAATTAGCTTTATAGAATTTGATTTTCAAGTCAAATGATTGGCTAGTTGATATGCATACTCTGATGAGTGATACGATACATTATGTGCACATTCTATAACAATAATGCTTAAACAGAGAAAAACAAAGATATTGCGATACAAATATACAACAAAAGTAATCAGTTTTTCAAATTAAATACTTTTTTCGTAAGTAAAGTAATATCGACAAATTTAACCATTATAAATTATTCTTTTCATTTTTCTCGCCATCTATTCAAATTTAAATATATAATATAATAATTTAATTTACT